TTTTATTTGACCTTCAGTTATGAATGAGTGTTTAGCTGGGTACAGTATTCTTGGTTGATAGTTGTATGTCTCTAGCGTATGGCATACATCATTCTAGGTTAATCTTGCTTTGATTGCTTCTGCTGAGAAATCTGAGGTGATTCCAATTGATTTCCCTTTATAAGTGATTGATCTTTTCTCCTTGACAGCTTTAAGGATCTTTTCCTTGGTCTGAATTGATCCTGTTTGGATTATAATGTGATGGTGTGATGTCCTGTTCTGGTCTTGTCTATTTGGAGTTCTAAAAGCTTCTTGTATCTGAATAGGCCTATTTTTTGCATGTTTGGGAAGTTCTCTGCTAGGATCCTGTTAAACAAATTTCCTAGACCATTAACTTCTGTCTCTAGATGCTCCTCTATACCTATTATCCTCAGATTAGGCCTTCTGATGGTGTCTTCCAAGTGTTGAATGGATCTATCATATTTCTTGGATTTGTCTTGGATGGTTGTATGTTCTTTCTCTATAACATCTAGGCTGTCTTCAATCCCCGAGATTTGATCTTCTGCATTGTCTAACCTATTATCAAGACTTTCTACTTTGTTTTTTATTTCTTTTCCTTCTAGTTGGTTGGCTTTGATGGTTTCAAATTCTTTGTTGGAGCTTTGTTTTAGCTCTTGTATGAAGTTCTTTACTTCCTTAATTTGGTGTGCAGTGTTCATTCTCAAATCACTTAGTTGATTGGTTATGGTTTCCTTGGACTCCCATTTCTTCTGTTGGGTTCCACTCAGCATTCCCTTTGTGGTCTCCCTGACTCCTTTTAGCTCTCTGTTTGTGGGTTCCATGAATGCCTCTAGTGATCTTTGTCTATTCTCATCCTGCTCTCTCAATTCTTGTGTTACTCTTTGATTAGATTCCTCATGTTCACACAATTCCTGTAGTTCTCTTTGAGTGTTCTCAGCCTGCTCACGCCATGCCAGACTTTGTCTTTTTTTGGTTTTGGCCAGGTTACGCAATTCCTGTCTATCTCTTTGACTGATCTCAACCTGCTCATGCCATTCCTTTTTTTCTCTTTGAATGTTCTCAATCTGCTCACACAGATTGAGAGTTGAGAAATCCAGACTTGCCATTTTTCTTGTGTTTTTCTGGCTTGTTCTGCCCATTTGGGATGAAAGTAACACCAGTTTTGTGCTAGAACACTAGCACAAAACACTAGCAAGCATCAACCAAAGTCTGTAGTTGCACAGTCAAAAGTCTTCAAATACAATCTAGTTTACCAGATATATCTATTCAATATCAAACAATTATGTATTAATGGGCTATGAACAGCAAAGAAGAATTTGGCAAACCAGAAATTATTAAGGTTTGGGGAGAGATGTGGGTAAAAATAAGAATAGAGGGATGTGGAAAGGTAAAGGGAGAGTTAAATTAACTAAGTCCTAATCTCAAAGAGGGAAATAGATAGTAGAGAGAGAAAAAAAAGAAGAATAGAAAAAAAGAGAAAAGAAAAAAATAGAAAAACAAAAATTAAAAAGTAAAAAAATAGAACACTTAAAAATTATGCAAATTTAAAAATGTAATATTCAGAGAAGAAGGAGGATAGGATGAGAGAAGGGGAGGGATAGAAAGGAGATGTGAAAAATTCAAAAATAAAAATGCTTAAAATATTATATAGGTATAAAGAAGTAGTACTGCTATTAAGGAATTTAAGTCTAAGAGGTTTTGAATTGAGTAATAAATTTCTGGATTAAATATGTGCAAAATGGGGAATAAAGGCTAATAATCAACTACGGGTATATCTGAGGATGAGCAGAAGAGCAATTAAGTTACACAAAGAAGAGCAAAGGAGGAGAAAAAGTAAAAAGAATGAGAAAGAAAGAAAAAAAAAGAATGAAAAGGTCAGTAGAGCTAAAAAGAAAAAAGAAAGAAAAAAAGAAAAAGTACACATACATATACCCCTAAAATAAAAATTATAAGAGAAAGAAAAAAGTTAATAGAAAATAATTTTTTTAATTAAAACTTAAAACTTAAAAAAGTTTAAAAAATATTTTTGGTTTAAGTCAATTTGAGCAGGCAGAAAAATGCTCTGCTTTACCCAGGATTTTGTGATCCTCCTCCCAGCCTAGTTCAATGGGAGGGAGATCTGCTTTGAGTAACATAAAAGAGAGAGATGGTTGTTTCCTCTAGTTTGGAGATGCTGTACTGAGGCTGGGTTTTGGGTAGAGTTAAGGCCTTTCAGCAAGCAGTACCTTTTCCCTGAGGGGCTAGCTTCTGAGACATTCACAGAACCCAGCCTGGAGCCATTCTCAGGGTTTATGTTTACTGAATTTCCATTGATTGTCAAGGCTTCTGTAGGGAGGGGCAGCCTCTGGCTCTGTTTACCCAGTGTAGAAAACCACTCCTGGGGCTGGCACAGCTTGCTCAGCCCGGGCTGGGTGACATTTCCCTGGGTGGAGCTGAGCCTGGCAGGTCAGGTTAGGTTCCTGTGACCTGCTAAATGACTTGTTTGTTTTCTTCCAAGGCCTGAGTTGGAGCTAGCTGCTCAGCCAGGCTTTTGTCAGTATCAAAGATGGAGATCTGCGGTAGTGGGGAGGGAGGGTGGCCTTCCCTCCTCTGCTCCCTGAGAAGGAGTGAGGATGTCAGGCTTCTACTCATGCTGGAGTCTTGGTTCCTGGGTCATCTCTGGTCTGCGATCTGCAGGATGAAGATGTCTGCTCCTTGTCAGTTTTTGTTGCTGTTGAGTAGAATCTGCTCGCCCACTGCATCTGGCACCTTTGACCTAGATGTGTTAGGGTTGGAGGCTATCGCCGCCACTGGCGCTGTGGCTGCTGGCAAGTGCTCAGATCTGTCTCCTTGCCTGGATTTTCCCTCTCTGGCCTAACTCTCTGTACTGTGATGGCACACTTGGTGTGAATCTCTGGCTTAGGACTGTTCACTGGAGCACTAAAACTGCTTTCTATGTGAGAGTTTGTTTTGCCTCCAGCTTCTCCTCTGCCATCTTCCCGAAACTCCTCATTATTTTATGGTTCAAACATCAATTGGCCAGTTGTAAGATTTTTTAGATGATTTCCCATGTTAATAAGAGTGGCTACTTAACAGTTCCTACGTTTCCCATTAAGAAGGTCAGAAGAAGGATTTAATGCACTCTTCTTTGAGTATGATATAATACCTGAAATAATACCATCCAATTAAATATGTACATATATATTACTTGCAACTATACAGAAATTTTTATTCTGAATTATCAAATTGCCTACAATACTAGAATTTGAGTGCATTAACAATAACTGACCTGTCTGTCATCAGCACTACTCTGCTTTTTTCAGACTCCACAGTCTGTCTGCAATGAGATTTGTGGTCCTGGATTCAGAAAATCCCTTCAGAAGGGAAAGTCTGTCTGTTGCTTTGATTGTATCCCTTGCTCTGAGAATGAAATTTCTAACAGGAAAGGTAAGTGAGTATTGGAGACATTCTCCACATCTCTTTAGTGTTTCTTAATCAATGGTAGACAATAGAAATGATCCATCATAGGTAGATAGCATACAGACACTAAAGCCTTCCTTTTATTAGGTAGGAATTTACATGTTAGAAAAAGATAAAATTACTGCCAGAAAATCACAACACCTGCAGATGTATAAAAGATTTGGTTAAGTTTTGTAGACCAGTTTCCACGTATATGATATCCATTCCACCGAATAACATGTTAAACCATTATCTGCAATATAGAAAACTATATTTTGTAGCAAAAAATTAAACTAAAGAGGACCGCTTTAGCTAAACTCTATGCTACAATCTGGGAAAATGCAGCATTTGGGATATCGGATATTGAAAGAGCACATTGATTTGAATGGAAGGTATATCCTAATTATTTTTATTGTTATAGGAACATTCTAGACTTTTTTTGTCGGTTGTGGGGCTTGAACTCTGGGCTTGGGCGCTGTCCCTCAGCTCTTTAGCTCAAGGCCAGTGCTCTACCACTTAAGCCACAGTGCCAATTCTGGTTTTCTATTGGTTTATTGGAGCTAAAGAGTCTCACAGACTTTCCTGCCAGGGCTGGCTCTGAACCATGATCCTCAGATCTCAGCCTCCTGAGTAGATAGGATTACAGGCGTGAGCCAACGTGCCCACCTCAGACATTTTTGAATATATATTTCAATTTCTAAAGAATGTGAAGAGTGTATGGTTCAGAAATGATTTATTTGTACCATGAAATCATAAATCATTAGTGTATTTTTAGAAACATTATTTAGTACCTGATAAGCTATGAAATATTAAGAGAAAATTATTGTTGTGATAGACTTTAGATATTGAAGAAACTGAAGTAAAAAATTAAAAAAGATAGAAATGAGTAAATATGAAGCCTATATTGGATGAGAAGACTCATAATTTAAAATGAGACTGTTAGCAAAATTGAGGTAATGAATTAATGAAATATCCATCAAACTCAACCATGTTTACTTTGAAAAGTTCAATGGGTGATTGAGGTTGGGATACCGAGGGAAGATAATGAGGATTACTGATTATTTTTTTTTCTCTAGAATTTACATAGTCATGCACAAAATCAAATGTGTACATTTCTTATGAAGGATGTGGTTTCTGAAGGCATTACACAGATTATTACATGTCATGTGTTAATTAGGTAAAGTAGATTTATCTTACCACATTTTTTTTCATCGGTTGTGGAGGCTGAACTCTGGGTCTGGGTGCTGTCCTTCAGCTTTTCAGCTCAAGTCTAGCGCCCTACCACTTAAGCCACAGCACCACTTCTGGCTTTTTTCTGCTTCTGCAGTACTGAGGAATCGAACCCAGGACCTCATGCATGCAAGACAGGCACTCTACCACTGAACCAACTTCCCAGCCCCTTTTCCACATTTTGTAATGGAAAATGCTTTCAAGAAAATACTAAAAAGTAAGAAAACATATGAGGATAAAATGATCAGGACTCACATTGAATTGTATGCTTCATAGGATTTGTACTTTGGTTTAGAAATCAACAACACCACACAGTGGGTTAAGCTTAACAAATGAACCTCTTTGGGGGAAGGGCACAGAAGCAAGGTAACTATTGCACAAGTGACAGTAATTCCCACTCCTTGCCAGATTGGGAGCAGTGTGTGAGGTGCCCAGATCATCAGTATGCCAACACAGAGAAAAACCTCTGCCTGCTGAAATCTGAGAGCTTCCTGGACTCTAGGGACCCTCTGGGGATGACTCTAGTCTGCTTGGCTCTCTGCCTCTCTGCACTTACCACTGCTGTTACTGGGATTTTTGCAAAGCACAACAACATTCCCATTGTCAAGGCCAACAACAGGGCTCTCAGCTACATCTTGCTCATCTCCCTCAACTGCTGTTTTCTTTGCTCCTTGCTCTTCATTGGACATCCCAACACAGCCACGTGTGTCCTCCAGCAGACCACATTTGGAGTTGTGTTCACTGTGGCTGTTTCCACTGTCTTGGCCAAAACCGTAACTGTGGTTCTGGCCTTCTCTGTCACTTCTTCAGGGAGAAGGATGCGGTGGTTGCTGGTGTCAGGAATGCCTAACTTCATCATTCCCATCTTCAAGCTGATCCAGCTCATTCTGTCTGGAATCTGGTTGGGCACTTCTCCTCCATTTGTTGACACCGATGCACACTCAGAACATGGCCACATCATCATCCTGTGCAACAAAGGCTCAGCCACTGCCTTCTATTGTGTCCTGGGCTCCCTGGGCTCCCTGGCCCTGGCAAGCTTCACTGTGGCTTTCTTGGCTAGAAACCTGCCTGACACCTTCAATGAGGCCAAGTTCCTGACCTTCAGTATGTTGGTGTTCTGTAGTGTATGGGTCACCTTCTTGCCTGTCTACCACAGCACCAAGGGGAAAACCATGGTGGCCGTGGAGGTCTTCTCCGTCTTAGCTTCCAGTGCTGGCCTGTTAGGCTGCATCTTTGTCCCTAAGTGCTACATCATCTTGTTGAGGCCAGAGAGAAATTATCTGCATGGTATATGTGGCAAAACAGGTTCTTGGAGAAAAAACCCATCCTAATGTTAAATATAAGTCCTTCTAAAATCATAGAGCCTCTGTAGCACGTCTCTACTAATTTTATCCCTCAGAACCTAGTTTAGGTTTGGGAAAATACTTTAAATAATGATAGTATTTTTTTACTCATTCTCCATGTTCTATGATGTTCATTATAAGTTGACTATTTTTTATGAATATTGAATTATTCTTGTTATTCCAATTACCCTGAATGTATTCCAATGATTCTGGACTTATTTTTCCCTATCTTCTCTATTTTAACTGTTTTATTATCTTGAAGTAATTGTACAAAGGAGTTGCCAGATTCAAAGCAGTTCTGAATACAATGCATTTTGATTAATGTGACCCCTTTCCACCCTTCTTATTTACTTTTGAGTGTATTATTTAGTCTTCTTTTACTTCAGTTTTTTTTCCTTCACTGTCTCAAATCATTTTTGAGAATTTTATGTATCATCAATCCTCAATACTGTAATCATTATATATTTGAGTTTTCCTATAATAGATATATTTCACTATTTGAAAATCTTGTTGGCTTTAAATGTCTTATTTGTAGATTTTATATATATCTCATTTACTTGTGTTTTTCCTATTTTCCCCTAGCTCTTACAAGCTTTCTCCATTTATTTTTCACCATTTCTTTATCCTAAATCATTGAAAATTAGATATAGGTATACTCCAGGCACATAGCTCAACTTCATGTGGAAGTTGTTGACTTCATGAATAATATTTAATGGAAGTTGGTTGGTGGACAATAAGTTTCACATCCTTCTAGACACAATTGATTAATCACCACTTACTAACGTGAATGAGGAGAAAGAATTCTTTTAGACTGTTGATGAGAATATAACCTAGTGCAACCCTATAGAAGGCAGTTTGAAGATTACTCAAGAAAATCAAGCCAGAACTCCCTTATTATTTTGCAATACAAGTTTTGGGCAGTGTTACACAGTGTACATATCTGGATACGGTAAGGTACAACAGTATTGGTTGCTGCACTATTCCCCATAGAAACGTCATGGAAACAGACCAGAGAAACATATTGTAGTTTTACACATCAATGCAAAAAGATGGTATTATGTCATTTGTAGAGAAATGAAAGGCTCTTGGAAAGTTGTCCTTAAGTGAATAAGTCATGGTCAGAGATTACAAAGATCATGTTTCCTCTGATATGTGGAAGTTAGATTCTAATTATGAATGCATATGTAAATCTACATATGTTAATTTGCATATAGCTATAAACCTCGTATTGAAAGCATGGTATACACAGGAGCAATATTAGTGGCATAATTCCTTTGAAAAGATAATGCTAAAGTGTTGGAACTGGGTTCTCATATCTCAGTCTCTTGAGTAGCTAGGATTACAAAAGTAAGCCACTAACTCCCATTTGAGATATATGAAATTTAGACACAGTCATACTATATACATATTTATGCATGTATGTATATTGTTTCACGCTTCTTCGGTATTTCTTACAAAAATACACAAATTTAGGTACTGTGAATGTGTTACAATAAGCATGTTGCATTGTTTTTTCATTGTGCTGATTTTATTTACTTTGGTTATATGCCAATGTAAATAGAAGGGAAATTTTCTTTTTGCTCTTTTAGCATCCCATGCTGTGATCCACAGGGGAACTCTAATTTGCATTTACCACAATGGCATTTACACTGACCTAGACTTTGCATATTCACAAACAAATTTTTGTGAGACTCTCTTTATTAATAGATTAAATTCCATTGTGATAAACAAGTCGTGTCAAAATTGTGAGTTCATAAAATCTTCAAATTATTTCATTGTTGACCTTTAAGGCCTTCCTTTGCCCATCGAGAAACACCAGAAGTTGTCAATATTCTAATGTATTCTTCTATATATATATATATTTTTTTTTTATTTTTTATTTTTTTGTCGGTCGTGGGGCTTGAACTCTGGGCCTGGGCGCTGTCCCTCAGCTCTTCAGCTCAAGGCGAGCGCTCTACCACTTGAGCTACAGCGCCACTTCCTTCTTCTATATTTTTATTCAAGACTTTATAGTTTTCCTTTTAAGGTCTTTTAGCTCTTGATTCAGCTTATCCCACAGTGATCTACATAATTTATATAATAGTAATAAACCAATTGTAACAATTCTAGCACAGTAATGCAATATGTCAGTACTAGGAAAACTGTCAGGCACATAATGGTTCATGTGCTCTTTGGGGTCACACATTTATATTTACAAAAATAAGACAGGAATAGATGCAATAAGATTTAATATAATGTATATTACACAAATCACATGATATTTAAATTGAAGGAATAATTGTTTAATTCTCCATAATTGATGCATGTATGCTAGCATTATTATCCTCATTTATTTTCATTATATGATGAGATGAAATATATATTCACCGTGATTCAAAGTTGATGTTGTTTATGTATGTATGGTTAGTCTTCAGTAAAGGTGTGTCCTAACTCTCAAATGGAGCAACTCCAGATGTTAAAATTTTTCTCAACAGCATCAAATGTAGTTTATTTTTAGGGTCCCTTTACATCCAAGCTTATCATGGTACTTCCCATAAGCTAACTTTTTCAAACAGCAATGATGTTCTTCTATATATGTATGGGAAACAGACGTATATTGTACAAAATGGAGTTTTATTCGACCATGAATATGATGGAAAACAAGGAGGCAATGTGACAAGGAAAACTTGGACAGTATTCACTTTAAAATGTATGCTGCATAGAATTGGTTTCTTCGGTGTATAAAACAATAAGATGCCATAATGGACTAAACTGAACAAATGGATTCTTCTAGTGGAACAGAAGAAGAGAAATGAAATTGCTATATAACTGATGGTAATTCCTACTCTTGGCCAGATATGGAGTATGTGTGAGGTGGCTAGCTCATCAGGATTCCAACACAGAGAAAAGTCTCTGCCTACTGAACTCTGAGAGCTTTCCGGAGTATAAAGACCCTTTGGGTCTTTGGGGATTATTCTAGTCTGTTTAGATCTTTACCTCTCTGCTCTTAGTTTTTTTAAAGCACAACAACACTCCCATTGTCAAGGCCAACAACTGAGCTCTCAGCTCATCTTCCTCAAGTGCTGCTTTCTTTGCTCCTTGCTCTTCATTGGATGTCCCAACACAGCAATCTTTTCCTATCTACTCTTTTTTTTTTTTTTTTTGGGTCCGGTTGTGGGGCCTGAACTCTGGGCCTGGGCCCTGTCCCTCAGCTCTTCAGCTCAAGGCTAGTGCTCTACCACTTGAGCCACAGCGCCACTTCCGGCTTTTTTCTTTTTGCTTATGTGGTGCTGAGGAATCAAACCCAGGGCCTCAGGCATGCAAGGCAAGTGCTCTACCACTGAGCCACCTTCCCAGCCCTCCTATCTACTCTTGAGTATATTATTAGCCTTTCTTTTTTGTCTCTCCTTCATTTTATAAGCTCTTTTTCAGAATTTTATATACCGTAAATCCTTAATTACATCATCCTTATATATTTGTTTCCTCTAGTAGGAATGTGTAATATTTTTCTTCTTTAAAGTATCTATAAACTATACAATTTGTGGGGAGAGGGATGGGCCATAAATTCTGAGAGTAATGGGGGATGGGAAGACACTGATCAAAGAAATGCACTCATTCCCTGATTTATGTAACTGTAACCCCTCTGTACATCACCTTTACAATAACCATTTTTAAGAAGTTTGTTTTTTTGTTTTTCTATCCCTCTATAGCTCTTACAAACTTTCCTGTTTATTTTTTATGTTAAATATACTTTTTTATTGTAAAGATACTGTACAGAGGGGTTACAGTTACATGAGCAAGGTAATGGGTCCATTTTCTATTTAGCATTGTGGTAGAGCGCTTGCCTTGCATGCCTGAGGCCCTGGGTTCGATTCCTCAGCACCATATAAGCAAAAAAAGAAAAAAGCCGGAAGTGGCACTGTGGCTCAAGTGGTAGAGCGCTAGCCTTGAGCTGAAGAGCTGAGGGACAGCGCCCAGGCCCAGAGTTCAGACCCCATTACCGGACCAAAAAAAAAAATCTATTTAGCATTGTTACCCCCTCCTTTGATTTTCCCCTAACAATCCTTTCCTCTCTACCTCCTTGTCTCCTCCTCCCCCCACCCCCACAAAGTTGTAAAGTTCGTTTGCAACATAATTTCTTGTACATCTCATTGTTACAATGGGTCAATTTTATCCTTATTTCGGCATTTTGTTATTTCCCTTCCCCTCCCCAAATTAGAAAAATGTATATACAAGATGCAGGATCTTTTTAATGTACTATGTGATTGTTTTTTGTTTCTTTGTATACTCTTCCCTGATGGTACAACCCCTGTTGTCACTGTATTTGATTCCTTGGTCTGTTTTTGCAGGTATCTCCCTCAGAAATCATTAAGAGCAAGATGAGAACTCGTCAACTTTAGGTGGCAAGTTGTTGGATATACAAAATAATATTTTAGGAGAGTTAGTAGGTAGACGTAGGTTTCACCTTCATGACCAATTTTGTCTTTTTATGTACAATTGTTTAATCTCACTCATTAAGGTGAGTGAGGAAAAGAAATGCTTTTACACTATTGGTGTGAATGTAATGTGGTGAAACCACTTTAGAAGGGAGCTTGGAGATTCCTCAAGAAACTAAACATAGAATTCTCCTATTATTTAGCAATAGAACTCTTGCAAATTTTCCCAAAGATTAGAAATCCAAATCCAATAAGGCTGCTCTCATAGTTCATTGTTGAGCTATTCACCATGTCAAAATTATGCAATTATGTATATACAGGAGTTTTACTCATCCACTAGAAAACATACTGTAAAAACTCCCATGCTCTTGGATTGGAAAGATCAACATTGTGAAAATGGCAATACTTCCCAAGGCTAACTACAAATTCAATGTGATACCTATCATATTCCAACCTCATTCTTCAGGGAAATGGAAGAGGCAATCCAAAAATTCATATGGAACAAC